TATTTTCTGCTTTCAGGGGAACAGAGGAGGGTCAGAATGTCCTTCTCACATCAGCAGTTTCTTAAGTAACTTTAATTCAAAATAATATGCCAGAGTGGCACATTTTAGGGCAGCCTGCCTTAAACCCAATCAAACCCCATCTCACATGATTCTTCACATTTTTTTTAAATCTACCATCATAACGTGAACTCATTCCATAGCAATATTTAGAGATAATTGTCATTTCTTTCTATGGTTAATAGTCACCATTATATAGATGCATATTGTTTATTCAACCAGTTCCCCTTAGAGGGGTAATATGGAGGTTTCTAAGTGTTACTATTACAAACAGTGCTCAAAGAATAGCTTTATGCATATGTCCTTCTAATCTTTTTCCAGAAACATATTTTTATAGCTATAATTTATTCCATGTTGTGGCTAGATGTACCTTACATTATTTATGTCTACTTCTATTTAGGACATGTATGTTCTTTCTATATTTGTCTCTTTCTAGTAGTGTGAGTGATACAACAATGAACATCATGTACTTAAATTTTTGTTGACATTTCTGGTTATATTGTAAGAACAGATTCCTAGAAATTTCATTAGTAGGTCAAAGTTTATGAATGCTATTAGACAGTTGATATATATCAAATTGCTTTCAAAGAAAGGGTACAACAAGTTTACAATCTCAGAGGCAGTAAACGTCATTCAGTATCTGGCACTGGAGAAATCTGAGTTCAAATCCTACCTTTACCATTTACTAACTGAGTGACCCTGGTTCAGTTAATTTTCCTAAGCCACAGCTTCCTTTTCTGGACAAGAGAAAAGTAATATTCATCTCATGGGGTTATTGTGAAGAGAAAAATAACATATTTGACTACAGATGAGTTCCTAGGCCAAATATTTTGTGTAGTGCCTGACGTATAATGATCATTTACATGTTTGTTGTTGTTATTCTTTTCACCAGCAGATGAGAATGTCAGTCTCAAGGAAGAGTCATTGGCACTGGATGTTATTGTTTAAAGACAAAAGGTGCTAATTTAACCTGTTACAGATGCTACTTGTTTTAATTTGCATTTCTTTGGTTTCTAGTTTTAGTGAACATTTTTCATTTATTTATTAATCTTTTTATTTCTTCTTCTGTGCACTCTGTTTATATCCTTTGTCTATTTTTTCTATATTATTTTAGTTATTTGAAATGCATATACAGGAGTTCTCTATTAGGAATGCAAATCTTTGGTTGACACAATTGCTGCAAATGTACCCCTGCATAGTTTGGGGTTATATTTCATTGCAGTTGTTCGATTTATTTTGACATACAGAGTTTAACATTCCATGCAACAAGTTCTCTTTGTGATAACTTCAATAGACTCTTTAAAATCCTTGTGAAGTACTTCACTATTTCAAAACTCAATTATGTGTTCATCCACATGTTATTTTAGTATTATTTGGGGTATATATCTTATATACAGAAAAGTGTACTGATGATAAGTTCACAACCTGAATAATTTCCACAAAATGGATGTATTCATTGTATTTGTTTGCCAGGACTGCCTTAACAAAGTGCCACAAACTAAATGGATTAAACTAGAGAAACCTCTTATCTCCCAGTCCTGGAGACTAGAAGTCTGAGATCCAAAGGTCAGCAGGGTTGCTTCCTCCCGGGGACTGTAGGGGAGAATTTGTTGACAGCTTACCCCTAACTTCTGGTAGTTTACTGATCATCTTGGTGTTGCTTGGCTCGTAGATGTATTGCCCTAATCTCTGTCTTTATGTTCACTTGGAATTCTCCTATGTATATGTCTCTATATTCAAATTTCCCCTCTTTATAGGAATACAAGTCATATTGGATTAGAGTACACACTGATGACCTCATTTTAACTTGATTCCCTCTGTAATTACCCTATTTTCAAATAAAGTCACACTCTTGAGGTACTGGGGGTTAGGACTTCAGCAAATCTGTTTTTAGGGAAACAATGCAGCTCACAATATTCATGCAACAAGAACACAGATCAAGAAACAGAATATATCAAACTTTCTAAAACCTACCTCATGCCCCCTTCAGCTACAACCCCTTGCCAAGGTTGCCACTCTCCTGATCTCCTACACCATAGACTGCATTTTCTATGTTCCTGAACTTCATATAAATGGAGAACACAACATGTATTCTGTTGTATCTAGATTCTTCACCTCAAAATTATATATGTGAGATCCATCCATATTATTGCTTTGTTGCCTGTAGCAATAATTCATTCTTTTCATTTTTATGTAATATTTAATGGAAGTAGGAGAAATAATGTAATTTATCCATTTTACTGTTGATACTTAGGTTGCTTCCAGTTTTTAATTGTTGTAAATATAGTTTCTGTGAAACTATATTATGGATATGTTGCAATGAAAATCCTAGCACAGCGTTTCAGTAAGTACACACTCACATCTCTGTTGGGGATATGGAGGGGACTTCCGGTGCCACAGGGTTGGCATATGTTCAACTTTAGTAGATGCTCCCAATAGCTTTCCGAAGTGTTTTGCATCAGCGTATGAGAATTTTGGTCCTGACCAGCACTTTGGATTGACTCAGACAAAAATATTTCTGATAAGAAGATGACAATGATGATGGTAATAGCTTCTCATTAAAGTCATTATGAAAACCAGGCATTGGACTCATCATCTCACCTATATTATCTCATTTAATCTCTTAACTACTTTTCAAGGGAGTTCTTAGTTTCATTTTACAGACAACAAAATTAAGTGTCAGTGAGATTAAGTAATTTGCCCAAAATAACAATAAGTAGTAATGCAGGGTTTGAACCCAAACTTGTCTGGTTAGACTTTCAAGTCAAGATAAAATGTAAATGTGGTTGCTATGGAGGTAAAGTGGGAGTCCTAGGCATCATGGTGTAGTAGAGGGGCCAACCTAGAGGTAAGAGGTGAACAGAGTTCTATCTCTGCACCTGAAAGCACTCTTCTTCCAGAGACACTCAGTGGGCTCAAGTATCAAGGTGCTGCTTTGAACAAGGCGCCGTGCTATTTCCAGATACAACACCTTAGTCTTCGCAATGACCTTGAGAGAGAAATAAAGTTCTACAATCCCCATTTTACAGGTATGGGAAACAAGCCTCAGGGAGGTAAAGAAACCTGTCTGAAGTTACAAAAGGGAGAAACAAGTAGCACAGTATTTCCATTCTAACAGAGAATGCAGAAAGGGGAGGTTTAGACCTTTCTGATTATGAATTGTATCTTTAAGGAATCTTTGGGAGTGTATGCTCACTTTTATTAAAGAAAACAAAGAAGAAGGCAATAAAAAATGACAAATGTTTTCCTGCTGAACTGCTGAAAGTTTTGTTCTGGAAAATGAAAACTTCAGAAAGCGAATTCTGGTATTGTAGGCCAGCATCCCTTATTTACAAACCATGTAATGAGTGGGCCTAGGACTCATATCCTGTAAAAGTATTACACCAATGGAGTTTTAATCAGTTCAAATGTTGTCATCTTCTAGTTTTGTGCCAGTACAATTATTTTAGAAAGCACAAAGTTTCCATTTTTACAGGTGCTTGGCTTATTTGTTTCTTAAAACAAACCTGGGCTTTGTCCTGGTTTCAGTAAACTTGTGCATTTTGCCCCCTGTATTTTCATCTGTTGTTCATTTAATTGCCTGACCAGGTCACAGACATAGATGTTCTAGGTGTGAGTATGTTTGCTATACATTACAACCCCAGAACTGTAGCCAGAGCTGAACGGGAGCCATTCAGGAAGGAGCAATGGGCTCACACTCTAGGAACAGTTCACACACAAGACTGATCCTTACCCAGGTAGACTGGGTCTGGAGACTTCTCAATAGAAAAACAACCACAGAAGAGGGGAGACACAACACACTCAACTCTCCTGCTTTATTCACAAAGACTGACTAAGCCATCAGAGCTGGTCCCCAGAAGCCCTAAGACTCCTTATGCACTGTTCAGGAGCCTTTCTTCCACAACCAGTGAGTGGGCTTAGCGCCCCCTCAAGTTCCATTTTGGAGACAGAGGAAGTGCACTCTGAGGACTGGAATGCCCTCTGCCTGCTCCAGCACGGAAATGTGCTGCTGGCATTTGCAGAGACTTGCAAATGATGTGGCGTAGGAGCTCTTAATCTCTATTTTAATGTCTCCAACAATCTAGTAGTTAATTAGCAATTTGCTGCCCACCAATATGCAAATGAATGACAAGCACAGGGCCTGCGCATCTGTAATTATTTTGCTGATTTACAAGCCACTTTGCTCTCTATGTAGGTTTTTCTCTGTGTGTGCATTCATGCATCAGGGATTTCATTATTTTTAGATGCATATTCTATGAGTTTTTATGCTTTAATATTTTCAGGCTTCAGTAATTACAGCATTATGGATATATATGTTTCCCTCCCTCAACTCTAGGTTCATTTATTTGTTAGGTTCTTTTCTGTGATAAGGAATAGATAGGATTTATTAAGGGGCTGAAATCCAAATCACAGAGAGAGCGCGCAAGATTGAAAGATGCAGGTTTCGGCTGCTGCCAAATCCTTATCTGGAATCGGAGTCTTGTAATATTTGATTTTCTCCCAAGCAGCTCTGGTGAGCCGAGCCACAGTCTGCATTATCCATCTGCCTACTTCGGAGCGGGGTGTTTTACTATTTGGCGGTTTAAATGCTTTACGTTTTTGCCAGCTTATTAAGAAAGGCTCTCATGTTAAATTAAGTCAATTAATAAATGGAGACACATTAAGCAATCAATTTTGTCAGCCTATCTCCCCAGCATTATGTATGGTTGGCTGTAATCACAAGATAAATGCAATGTGCTGATCTATGGTAATGTTCAATAATACATTCTCCGCCAGGCTCAATTCATCAGGGAGTTTGGGTAGGGGAGGCATTTGTTATTGGCTGTCTCTGCACCTCAAGGATAACATTTCTGTCCTTTTGATTGGCCGCCTCACTGCTGCAAGATTCTAACCGTCTTATTTTGATGATGAATCTGAAGGCACGCTAAGCGGGCTGGCGCGGGGTGTCTCAGAGGCTGCGCTCCTTCCATAGCCGGAGGACGTACAGCTCCCTCCCCAGCCTGCCTGTGCCAACAACCCCCCAGAAGTTGTGATGCTTTTCTTTACCCAGTGCTTTGGGGCTGTGTTAGATCTCATTCACCTCCGCTTTCAGCACTACAAAGCTAAACGGGTTTTCTCCGCTGCTGGGCAACTTGTCTGCGTCGTCAACCCTACGCACAACCTAAAGGTGAGTTGCTCTCCATCATTTTATACTCAAATCCTTTCTCGGGGGAGTGAGAGCAGACCCCCCGCGTGCGTCTGGGGCCACTGGCAAAGCTCTTCGCTGGCGCTAGGATGGTGTTTGGTTCCCGGAGCGGCTGCCCAGGCTGGTCCTAGCTCTCCAGGTGGCTTGGTGTTCACAGTGACTGCTGTTTCCCCGACTGGCAAGAACAACTGGAGTGATAGTCCAGTGTCTTTCCCCCAAACTGTCAACCTACGAATGGAGCCGGGTTCGAGTGAGGGTGGTAGAGGGAGTAGGGTGCGTCCCCCGTCTTTCTCCCATATATTTGTGGGCCAGTGTTCAGGAGACAGGATTGAAAAGTTACCCACTTTGCAATCTGTCCCATGTGTTTGGAGAGGCAGGCAAGCACGTGGATTTTGGAAGCCACTTCTGGCTGCCGCCTAAGTGTAGCTCCGCGGAGCAGGAACTCCCGGTGTGTGTGTGTGTGTGTGTGTGTGTGTGTG